CCTTGTAGCCGCCCTCCGGTAAAGCAATAAAATACTGTAACACCTTTGAAGGTCCTTGTGCACACTTCCCAGCTGGCGTCAGTTTCCCCAACCAAGAGGCAACCCCTGTTTAGATTTGGGTGATCATCCTAAATATTTCTTTATACCTTTCCCTCATATATTTGTATTCTTAAGCAAGACACAGCATTGTTTTTGAACTTAAATGCTGTCTTATTCTATATATTTTCCTCAGTGTGCTTTTTGTCGCCCGTTATTTTGTGTGGGAGACGGATCCATGTGGACGTGTGTCACTCCCTGCCATTCGTCTCCTGGGTGTGCGGTGTGCCATTGTATGAATGTGCTGCAATGTTTCCACCATCCTGCTCATGCACCTGCTCAATGTCCCCTGTGTTCGTTCGGGTACAGACACCCTTGCTTCTACCATTCTTACACTCATCTTCCTTCTCCACATACGTGCTACAGTTTCTCCAGGGAACATACCTGGAGTGGGATTCTTGGGCAGGTGCATCTTCTATCTAACTAGCTTCTGCTCAACAGAGCTCTGTGTGGTTGTAACAGATTCATTCGCACAAGCAGTGCATAGAATTCTCATTACTTTGAGTTGCTGTTAATACGCAAGATTACCAGGCTTTTAAATATTTACCAGTCTGACGGGTAAAATGACGTATCACTGTATTCTTGTTATTGATACATAATAAATGTTGATATTTTCAGGGTTTATGTGCTAATGTGATACATTCATATAATGTGTAAAGGTCATTGTGATTTTAATTAACACTTACCCGTTGTTCAAAAACACAGTTTTAGTGGATGAAGAATATCCCATTATAAGGACAGACCACAATCTATTCGCTCTTCCCTTATTATCATACATGTGGTATGTTCCCAAATTTTTACTATACAAGCAATGCTTCATTGAATATCCTTGAATAAAATTGTTTAAGCAAATGGCTGATGACAGTTCCCAAGGATAAATGTATGGAGATGTACATTACTCACAGTGCTTATGCACACTGCCCAATTCCCTGTAGAAGAGCGTCCGATTGCTTGCCGCCTGGAAGCTTCTAAGTGTGCCAGTCTGCCTGCACACCCATCAATACTGGTTTAATATTATTTAATAAACAGTATTAATCCACTTAATAGGTAAACAATTACAGCCTGTTTAAATTTGAATGTGATTTTGTCAGTGGCGGGCTCAGTCATGTTTTTGTATGTTAATTGATTATCCATGTTCTTATTTTGTAAATTACTAACACATTCTTGTTACCTGTTTTTATATTGAATATAGGATGAGATAACTAGGACATAGAAAATATTGGCATTTAAAATAAATTTTTATATCAATACCATTGTAGGAAAATTTCCCCCTAAGCAAACAAGCAATTTTATATAATGGTCTATGTCTGCAATACAGTATTAATAATTGTCACATGGTACTATTAGTGAATAATTACATAAATTGGGACTTTTGGCCTCTCTTTGGTTTTGATTTTAGTTCAAGCCAAGCCACTTGCTAATCTTTCTTAATAAGCCTGGAATTAATAGGTTTAACATTGAAGATAAGTTAAATATGTAAAAAGGATATTTTCTATAAATCCAGGAGAATCCTGAGAGAAGTCTCACAGGACCAGAGAGCTCCTTCTGAAGTGCTCACACACACAGAATTCATAGCACATTTTCCTGGCAAAACCCATAATTAAATGTGGCTATAGATGGGAACATAATTCAGGCCTGAGACCATTTTCTACTATGACACAGAGCCGTAAGAAAGAAACTCACTCTAGCTAAGAGAAAAAGCATAAAACAAGCTGGTAATGAAGCTCATTTGCAAGGGAAATGCAGCATTTGTGCGAGCGGAGCTGATTGCTTTCCTTAAATGGGAAAAAGACTGTCATCTTTTAAACCTGATAGGAAGACACTCACTCTCTGAGGAAGACTATGCCTGTCCCCCCAATCAACTCTTCTCCTCCCTACCCTAGGGTGAGAAGGCTCAATATGTTGACATGGCATTTAATTAAATGCTAATAAATTCATAAATATGCAAGAATTGTGAGAAGTAGCTGGTTTGAAGTAAAATGAAATAAATCTAAATCTGAGGAAAACACAGCATAGAAAGTAAAAAATCAAAGACCAAGAATTTAAACATACATACAGTCAATTTTCATTATTCACAGTACTTAGATTCCATAAAGCTACTTGAACATTGAATTAATGAATACTGAACCATTGCTCCCAGGAGAAATACAGGGTTAGGTTCCTTCAAGCTTCTGGCCACATTTTTATAAACAGGTCAATATATAACATTGTGTTTTTGTTTAAAAACACTTAATTGAATACGTATTGTTGGTTCATTAACATGGAACTCAACTAACAGCACCATAACTCATTCTGTAATGAGGCTTATCTAATAGACATATGTGTTTTCTCTGTAAGGCATGTCACAGCCTTCTTGGACTTAGACTCAACTCGGCACTTCAGTATTACACTTGGGGGCCACAGTGAAATCACCACCAAAATCACAAACATTGAGTGGTGTGAAATAGACAGTGAAAAGGACACTTGCTTTACAGCAAGAGAGCTAAAGGCAGAGTGTTGCCTTGCACCACCACAGCCGGGAAAGTGATAAGGCGCCTCGCATTTTTCACCACCTGCACATGTCTGTGAATAACCTAAAAAGCACCACAGTATTGATTTTGGTGTTGTAAATGCATTTTAGTGAGCAGGCAAACTTGAGCAGGCAAACTCACAAATACAGAACCCGTGAAAAATGAGGACTGACTGTATTGTAAGCACCCGACTTCAGCATTGCCTCTTTCTAGGCACTAGGAGAGCTCTGTGCATGATGGAAGACGATTGTCACTTCAGCCTCCCGCCTCTTTTTTCTGATAATATTGCTCAGTTCTTGGGAAGCTCCTACCCTGCATTGGGTGTGCTTGATGGCATTTTAGTCAAGGATTTTGCTCACTTTTGTTCCAGGGACAGACCTGTGACCCAAGCTGCACCCGTTGGAATGGCCTGCCAGAGAATGGGGGTCTTTAGCGGAGTGATGCCAGGATGGAGCATGGTGGAGGCTGATTCATACAGACAGCAGCCCCTGGAGGAGACCGCCCTTTGGTTCCCGCGCCCTAGATCCCAGCGTCTGCTCTGAGTTGCATCCTTTCTGCTTCCTCCCAGATTATCAGCTACTTCCCGTCTTCCATTCGGTTCTGCTCGAGTTAGCCAGATTCCGTTTCTATTGATTTTAGCCAAAGCAACTGGACTAAGGCACATCCTAAGGGTTGGGGAGGGGGAGCTGTACTCATTTCTCAGCGAGCGCCTCTCATTTTCACTCCTTCTTCCCTGCTGTAGCACTTTCTCTTCACGGGTTGGGGTGGAGCTAGGTGAGAAAAGCAGGATCCTACTAGCCACACATTTTAGGGCCAGCGAATGTGGCCTTCAAATTGTTAAAGTGACACAACATCGGACCTACCGCAAGAGCTTGGAGAAGTGGAGTTTTCTCCTAACATCCCCAAGGAAGGAGATGTCTGGGCCATTTTGGATATCTCCTTCCCTAGCTGGTGAAACAACGGGCACTTTCCCAGCGCTAGCGCTGCCACTGCCGCACAGCCCAGACGCCCTCCAGCAGCCCTTACACGGGCATGACAGAGGGCTTAAAGCCTCTTGTCTTAGAGTCGTTTTTTTCACAATGTCACCCCAGGTTCACACTTCCGACCTGAGAGGCATTAGGAAAAGAACTAGGCTCACCTGTGAATAACTAAGATCACATATGAAGAACTAATAACTACTATGGTTATGTTTCTAGTTACTTTCTTCATTATTTATATGGAAATAGGCTGAGGCTTCTGGCTCCTGCCTCGGCTCTTAAGGGATCTCCCCCCTACACCTTTCATTCAAATGAATAGCAAAACCCCACATATCCTGTTTCTTTAGTCAAATAGTTGGCCTTATTTTTATTCTTGTTGAAATGGAAAGCTGGGTTGATAGTTTAACATGCAAGTGTACGCCCAGATATTTTTATTTGAAAAGTGATAATGGAATTAACCAATTATTTTTAAAGTCATCTGTTCCTAAAATTCTACAGAGTCTGTCTATTCATCCACTTAATAAACATCTAATGAGTACCTGCTGTGTTTCAGGCACTGAGCTAAACATTGGAGACCCAGGGATTCACTCTGCCATTCACAAATATTGGTTGAGCGACTCAGGATATTGGTTGAGTTTCTGCCTTGGGGATCTGTTCTGGTAGAAGTTTACACACAAACAAATGATAGTAAAATGCACTAAGTCATTGTTTATTTTGTAGACTCTGGCTACTCAGTGCATGCCTTGAACTAGTAATATGGCATCATGGAACTTGTTAGAAATGCAGAATCCCTGCAGTCACAGACTACCTGGATCAGGATCTGTATTTTAAGAAGATCTCCTAAGGGATTTGCATGCTCTTAAGGTCTGAGAAGCACTGGGGCAGGACTGATAACTGAGTCAGGAGGGATGCCTATACAGGGGAGGGGCTGCAGATTTCCCCAGGAGGAGGGGCTTGAATGAATGGCCAATAGGAGTTTTCTAGGGAGGGTGTATGCAAAGGTGTGGGGTTGTGAGAAGGTGCTGGGGTTGTCAGAGATGAGGGAATGCTGTGTGACCGGAAGCAGGGAGTGGAGGAGAAAGGAAAGGGCATGGCTTGAAGGAGGGATCATACTGTGTAATCCAGGCCAAGATTTCAATGGAGAATGGAGCATAGTGCGTGATATGGTTTGGATGTCTGTCACCTCCAAATCTCATGTTGAAATGAGTTCCCAATGTTAGAGGTGGGGTCTGGTGGGAGCAGATCTATTGGATTATAGGGGCAGATTTCTCATGAATGGCTTGGTGCCATCCCTTTGCTAATGAGTGAGTTCTTGTTCAGTTAGTTCATGTGAGATCTGGTTTAAAAGTCTAGGACCTTCCCCTTCACTCCCTCTTGCTCCTGCTCTCGCCATGTGACCTTCCCGCTTACCCTTCACCTTCCACCATGATTACAAGTTCCCTGAGGCGTCCCCAGAAGCCAAGTAGATGCTGGCGCCATGCTTCATGTATAACCTGTAGAACTGTAAGCCAATTAAATCTCTTTCCTTTATAAATTACCCAGTCTTGGGCATTTCTCTATAGCCATGCGAGAATGACCTAATGCATAGAGGAATCTAAGCCAATGGAAAAACTATACACTAGACGAAAGTGACGAAGCCCAAAGCCACAAATCCCAACCCACTCCATGAACTTTCTTTTTTCTATTGCACAGGATTGTACTTTCTGGTTGCGATCCTCTTGAACTTTCTTGGAATCGTTGTTGTCAATAAACATTTTTCTAGGATCTACCATGCTAGTGGTGGTACAGCCACTGAAAGGGAACTCAGGGATGCACAATGTGTACACCTGCCCTTCTCAATGTCTACAGTTAGATTGGGAAGGTGGGATGTTGAGTGTATCCACATCCAATAGAATTATAGAACAAGGACATGCGAGCCAAATGCCAAATACTAGGAGAGTCAGTAAATGCTAAGGGAGAGGGATGTGTTGCTGTAGCTCGACTTGTAGAGAAGACATTTAGAGAAGGTGGGGTTGGAGGTGGGTCTTCAACTGCCTCTCTGCTTCTGTCAGTGGAAGAAACTACTTAGGCTGATTCTTAGCTACAATTCTAACATTGCAGAACCATTAAGGACGCACAATTGTAGATTAGGGATTTCCACACTCAGGTAAAGAAATGTCGCGTTACTTAATTTTTCTAAATCATATTAACACTCTGCCCAGTACCCAAGTCTCAGTTGCTAGGATGCAGAGAGTCTCACTCCAGCCATCAATGGGGCTCCCTCATCACCATCCGAGCCATGCAGAAGCCCTGGAACTTTTTCTGGCAGAGTTCCCTGTTCTCTAGCCCATGTTGATATCTTCATTGTCTAAGATCTGGCATCCCTTAAACAGAGTCTGTATTGCTTCTGTGCCAAGTTTGGAATAGGACTCTTTGGGATTAGGTTGAGAGCCCTCGGCCTAGGGTTCCTTTCCAACTGCATTGTGGAACATCCAGCATCTCTTGGCTCTTCGCAGGATACTGGGGTGTCGCATCCACTTCTTCCTCTACCACTGCAAGCCTGACCTCTATTTCCTCAGCTCCTGGGAGGGTTCCACCTGGTGTTCCCTCAACTTGCGTTTAAAACCAAGGCAAGACAATTTATAAACAAAGGAGGTTTAATGGTTCCCAAAGACATCCATGCCCTCATATCTGGAAATTGTGAATATGTAACTTTATAGGGCAAAAGGGACTTAGCAATGTGGTTAAGAATTTTGAAATGGAGAGATTATCTTGGGTTATCTGGGAAGGCTCAATGCAATCCTTTACAATGAAATAGGGAGGGCTGAGAGGCAGAGGAGTTTGAAGAGCTGTGCTGCCGGCTTAAGACAGAGGAAGGGGCCACGAGTCAAGAAAAGCAGGTGGTCTCTAGAAGCTGGAAAAGGCAAGAAAATATTCTTCCGGAGAGCCTCTGGAGGAAACATACCTCTGTGGATGCTTTGATTTTAGCCTAGTTAGACCCATTTCAGACTTTTGACAGCTGGAACTGTAAGAAAGTACACTTGTGTAGCTTTAATTTGGTAAGTTTGTATCAATTTGTTCCAGCAGCAACAGGAAAACAATACAGGTCTCTTTTCCTGCAGAGTGGGTAGAGAGAGGAAAGAGAGGATCAAACCCACAAAGGTTGCTTCCTTCTACATTGTTACAATGTGAATTGTGGGCTTATCTACCATCAAACCAAATGGAGCTAGCTGCACAGCAGAGGGCTATTCCACCACTTGAAGGAGTTTGAGGTTGCTTGTCGGAGATGTTTTGGAAGGGATTTGCATTTTTGTGTGGGTAGGAGGTTGGGCAAAGAGAAGGGATTAGTCTAGAATGTTCTCTTTAGTACTTTCCATACCTGAGTTTCTATTATTTCAAAATGAAAATGATGCCTTTGTTTCTCATGGTCCAATAGTAAATCCCCTGTTCTAAACACTGGATCTTTTTTGTTTTTGCATTTGGAAATGGTAATGTAAGCTACTGAGATCATTTGTAATCCTTTATTTGAATAACATTCAAATAGCAGAAGGGGCTTACTTATACCACACACAGTGTGTATGTGAATCAGGTTCATATTGCATTTTCTACAAAAGAGACTTTTCAGAGTTCCAAAACAAGCAGGCCTGTTCTGTGAGAGCTATTGAGCCATGAGCCCAGGAGCCTCTGCTCAGCTGCCTTCAGTGCCCAGCCCCAGAGCAAGACCTGAGGAATCTTTTGGACTTAGGAATTACAGATGCTCTCTGAGCAGACTCAGATCCCAGAATCACTCCCCACATAGGCTGGCCAGGAGTGAGTGCTAGGGAGGCCCCCATCAGCCTTAGTCTTCTCCGCACAAAGAGATAACAACACCTGGGAATACAAGGTTGTTGAAGAGACTCAACAAGCATGCAAAGCAGTGCCTTGCAGATACAACACCTTCAGAAAATGAGTTTCCTGATGCCATTTTTCCAGATTTCAGCACTTCTTCCCCATCCCCAGTGACTCAGTGCCCACCTCCTTCCACAGATAGTAATAATCAGTTCTAAGGTTTCCACCTCAGAGAACATTAACATTAACATTAACTGTGCTTAACGTTTAGGTAATGTTTAACCCAAAGGAAAGCACGTTGAACAGCGGTGGTTTGGGAGCAGAGTCTGGGGGGGAGGACACTGGGCTGGAGGGGAAGTGGCTGAGCTTCGCAGACATCACCGAGTAGTTTCTTGCTCCCTCCGTCAGTGGCTCATTCAGCACCACACAGTGTGCGTAGCTGTGGCCTGTGGTCTCTTAAGCAGGGTGCTTTGGGAATAAGAAGGGCTGAACGAGGTAGCACTGGTACCTCCAGCACTCTCTCAGGAAGAACACCTGCACACCCTACAGGGGGCCTGCGAACACCCTCTTCCCAGAAGACACAGCATATTGCAACAAAATAAAAAACTAATGACCTGAAAATGGAGTTTTATTTCTTCTCATTCTGCCTAGATGTCTCTAACTAAAACAGTTATTTCTGCTGTATCTTTCTCTACAAAAGCCTCCATCCACTATTCTTAAATTCTATAGGCTTTCCATTCCAGCCTAAGCACACTCAAGGCAGGCATTTCCAGCTCCGGGGAGTTGATGGCTTAGGCTGTGGGGCTGGGGTCACTATTTTGGAGGAGATTCCAGTGCTTCTAATCTGTGATCTTTTGACCGGATATACAGGTTGAGCACTGGATGAGGAGCATTCTTGAGCTAATGACTTTTCTTGATTTTCATGGATTAATAAGAGAGATGGAAGGTTGTACAAACACAGAGAAACTTCACCTCCTCTGTTCACAGAAGCACATGAATCCAAATGACCACACTGTCATCTCAGTGACTGCCCTTGTCTTTTCCTTCCCCTAACCACCTACCTAGTGAGGAACCAGAGCCGGCTGCCAGTAACAAAACAACTGCACCCACATTCCATCAGGCAGGAATCCTGTGGATGCTGTCTTTGCATCTCTCTGCACATCTTGAGAAAAGTCCAGGCTCCCCACAACAAGCCTGTGCCTGTGTGTGTGTTCATCTCTTCCTCCTGGTGGGTAGGAAGAATCATGCCCTCTTTACTCCCAACCCCACAAATGTCCACATTCTGATTCCCAAAGCCTGTGAGTACGCTCCTTACATGGCATAAGGGATTTTGCAGATATGATTACATTAACAACACTGGAGATAATCCTGCTTGGCCCCAAAATATCACAAGAGTCTTTATCAGGGACAAGAAGGAGGCAGGAGGGTTAGAGAGAGATATGACGAGGGAAGTACAGAGCCAGAGAGCTGGCAGCAGGAGGGCTCAGCCAGACGTTGCTGGCTTTGAAGATGCAGGAAGGGGCCATGAGCCAAGGAGTGTAGGTGGCCTCTAGAAGCTGGAAAACGAGGGGAAACAGATTTTCCCCTAGAACCTCCAAAAGGAACTGCCAAGATCTGGATCTTAGCCAGCTGAAACTCATGTCAGACTTCCGACCCCCAGAAGTATATGATGGTAAATTTGTGTTGTTTTAAGTTACTAAATTTGTGGTAATTTGTTATAGTAGCCATAGGGAATAAATACACTCCTCCAAAATGAAATTAATAACATCTGTTCAACAATAAGATTTGTAAAAGATAGCTATAGCCCCAGAAAATGTCAATGCTTAATCACCAAGCCCCAGCAGTGTAAGTTTAGCGTATCTTTTCCCAAATTGTTAATAAAGAATTTATTAACATAAAGATGGAATAGGGAACGTGCACTGGGCCACATGGTCAATTAGATGGCACACTAGTTCCAGAACTCGGGCTGCAGGCTCTGCTAGACTGTGTTTCAGGAAAGGCGGGCTCAGTGCCTTCTGCCTCGTGTATTTCGTCCCGTGGCTTCTATTGCACACACACACACATGCACACACCTTAAAAATGAAAGAGGATAAAAGCTTTCTCTAATATCACTCCAAAAGTTAAAGCACTTCTCTAAACAGAATGATGCCTAAGTTATCCCCAAGTTTCAGTCTCATTACATTAAAAAATTCTTTACTGGATTTTGCATCATGTTAGTCCTATAAATACAGAGACAAAAAAGATGGTCTCCACCTTGAGCAGATCAGCCAGGTGGGTTGAGAAGAAGGAGGAGAGGATCATCTTTGGCTTTTTCCAAAGGTGCTCAGAGAACAAAGCGTTATGCCCTGCTCAGATGAGGACTTAGCTTTCCTTGACTTCTCTAGGGACTTTTGTCCTGGCCTTCCTGAAGCGCCATTGTTTTGGGTCTCTTATTATAAGCCCTTTGTTTCAACTATCACCTCTCCGGCACTGTTGACCTCCCCCACCCTAAGATCTCTTTCTCCTCAGTCCCTAACGTGGCCTCAGGTATGACCTTCACTGCTATGTCCACACTTCCCTCTCAGAGTAGCCTGCCCTCCATGTCCACTCATCCACCACTTCTTGTCTGCCACTTGTTTGCCAGTGGCTCTATGATTTTCTTTTCTCTCTTTTTTGAGACAGAGTCTCATTTTGTCACCCAGGTTGGAGTGCAGTGGCTTGATCTTGGCTCACAGAAACCTCTGCCTCTTGTGTTCA